CCTGTAGGGCGAAACGGCTATAGGGCCATAGGGCTATCGGGATATAGGGCTATAGTGCTATAGGGCCCCGGGCCTATATGGATATAAGGCTAATTGGCTATAGGGCTACGGGGCTATAGGGCCATAGCGCTATAGGGCTATAGGGCGGTAGGGCCATAGGGCCACAGGGCGCCCAGGCACGCCGAAATCGGTGGCTCGGCTAGCCTAACCATATGGCCCCGCTAGGACTTCTACAGGGGCAAGCTCTGATTGGGGAATGAATCCGCCAGGATCTACAGAGCCAGGCTCTAACGCTGTAGGTATGGCTACAGGGCTGTAGGGCTGTCGGGCGACACGGCCATACGGCAATAGGGCAATCGGGCTATAGGAATATAGAGCCATAGGGCTATAGGGCTGTAGGGCTATAGGGATATGGGCTATATGGCTATAGGGGTATACGGCCATTGTGCTATCAGGCTAGGAGGCGCCCCGGCACGCAGGCGGGCCGCCGGAATCGGCGACGCAGCTCCCGGGCGCCCGGGCACCCTGGCGCGCCGGCGACATCGGCGGCGCAACTGACCTAACTATATGAATCCACTAGGACCCCATACAGAGGGAAGCTCTGATTGGGGAATGTTTTTGGCCTTCTCGCCTTTTCGCCCCCGACGGGCTCTCGAGGCCTCGAGATCGTCCAACGCGGCCCAAGAGAGCGCCAAGAGTGGCCCCAGAGAAGCCCAAGCCGGACCCCCAAGAGCGCCCAAGAGAGCCCCCCTGGCTTCGCCGGGAGGCGGCGCGCGCCGATCCCGGGCCCCCCCCCAAAAAAATATCCGTTCTAGCCTAGAGCGGCCCCGTTCTACGCGTAGTTGGAACGTCTGCGTCGGCCGAGGGTGGCGCCGAGAGGGCCCAGGAGAGCTCAAGATGACCTCCAAGATCGCTCAAGACAGCCCTCGATGACTCAAGATAGCTCGCGACTCAAAATAGCCCGCGACGTGCCCCGAGACGGCCCCAAGTGGCCACGGGGCCTCCCAAGGACCCCCACCCCGCTATACGGCAATTGGGCAACGCGACTACAAGGCTATAAGGCGATATGGCTATAGCTCCAGGGCTCCACGTCTATATGGCTATAAGGCTAAAGAGCTATAGGGCAATGCTGCTGCGGGGCAATCGGGCTATGGGGCTATGTGGCTTTAGGACTACAAGGCTATAGGGCTGCAGGGCTATAGGGCTGCATGGCGACCCCTGATCCCAAGCTCCGTCTGGGCGACGCGCGCCTCCTTCAGCTTTCATACGCTGAAGTTCGCGACGCGCCTCATGTTCAGGCCGTGCAACTCCCAGCCGCGCAGCCTGGCGGGGCACGCCCTGCACACGGCCGCCATGGAGGACAGGTCGAGGAAGCCCGTGCCCTCCTGCCCCGAGCCGAACGCCGCCCGCCCGCTTCGCCGCCGCCCCCGCTCGACCCAGGCTCTCGTCTGCGGCCCTGGGCGGGCGGGGGCGGGGTCGTCGGGGGCACGTCGTTCTGGCGCTGCGTCCATGGGCGCGACGTGTATCATCATGTTGGCGCCGAGGTCGGCGACAGCGGCCAAGTTGCCGAGCGGCACGTCGCGCATGTGATTCGCCTCTCCGACGACGCCGCGCACCGCCTGGGCGCGTCGGGACGAGGGCATCGGACACGAGCAATCAATCAGCGTACCGACTAAGCCTGGACGACGATGGGGCGACTTCGGCGCCCTGGAACAGGGCCCGCGACAACGGGGCCACGACATATGATCCAGGGTCGAGGGCCCACGGGCCCCCCCCCCCCCCCAGATGGTATGGTCCCAGGATTCCTCGGGCCCCCCCCCCCCAGATGGTATGGTCCCAGAGACGACGACGACGACGACGACGACGACGACGACGACGACGACGACGACGACGACGACGACGACGACGGCTGCGACGACGGCGACGACGGCGACGACGGCGACGACGACGACGACGACGACCACGACGACGACAACGACGGCTGCGGCGACGACGACGACGATGACGACGGCGCGACGACGACGATGACGACGATGACGACGATGACGACGACGACGACGACGACGACGAGGACGACGAGGACGACGAGGACGACGAGGACGACGAGGACGACGAGACGACGACGACGACGACGACGACGACCTCTGAACCACCACAGCACCACACCACATCCACAGGGGGGGGGAGGGGGGCACCGCAGTGCAACACCACGCCACGCCCACCTCTGAACCACCACAGCACCACACCACATCCACAGGGGGGGGGGGAACCGCAGCGCAGCACCACGCCACGCCCACAGGGGGGGGCGGGGGGGACCATCGCGCGGGGGGGGGGCCCAATGGCATCAGCATTGGGGGGGGGGGGGCCCAAACCCTGGACCATATATGGTCGAGGGTTTGGGGCCCCCCCCCAATCCTAATGCCATCGCCCCCCCCCGCGCGATGGCCCCCCCTCCCACTGTGGATGTGGTGTGGGTGTGGTGTGTTGCTGTGGGTGTGTG